CCAGACACTGGCTGGCAGATCGCCAAAGGAAGGCCAAGCTGCTGTCATGCTGCACCTTGGTAGGCAGCAGGGCCAACTCCAACTCCATCTCCCAGGACCTGCTGTGACATTTGGGTGAGAGGAAAAGGTCGAGGGGTCCCTCTCCCGCTCTCGATCAGCTGCATGGATTTGAAGAGCTCCTAACATCCCACTGTGTTGCCACATGGCCCCAGCATGTGCAGCACTGGCACTTGCCAGCATCTGGGCTGCTGCTCCCCCCAGGAGCTGCCAAGGACTGGGCATCTCTCTCAGTCCATGAGCTGAGTGGGGTGTGGGGCAGGGGTTCAGAAGGAAGTGGTCAGACATTGCTCCAGAAAGCCTCAGATTTCCTCACTGAGAGGCAGTAACTCCTATTGGTGCTCACAGCTTCTGGCAGCATGTCTGTGCAAGCCAAGGCTGGGAAAATTTTGGCAGCAGGCTGGGTGGGAGAGGGCAAGCAGGCCAGATGTGTGCTCAGAACAGAGGGCTTGGTGCAGAGCTAAGAGGGGCAGCTGGGCACCTCACTCCCCACTGCTCCCACAGCACTGAGAAATAGCTTTGTTTCTACCCAGGATGCAAAACCAGGATTAAGCTAAACAGATGGGGAGGGAGATGGAGGGACAGACTCGGATCTCAGCTTCTATGAGGAGCAAATCCATCTGGGGGAAGGGAGGGAGGAAGGGATGCTGCAGAAGCCAAGAGCATCACACCCCCACGTGAGCACGGACCCACCCAAGGGATGCTGCAACTGAGGGCTTGGGGCAAGGAGTTGCAACGGATGGGGGGAGGTGAGGGAGAGGGTTAAGTACCTGGGGACATCTCCCTGTCCCCTCCCCCGACAGGGCTGTCACTCCAGCTCCCAGCACCTAGGGTAAAGGAGGTGTTGTCATGGAAACGGTTATTCACCACATGGAACCTGACATTTGTGGTTGCCATGGAAACCAGCTCTTGGGGGCATTCCTTCTGCTTTGCACAAAAGAGACATTTTGATATGATCTCTGGGGAGGGGGGCCTTCTACCCATCTGTCCACCCCTTTCCTTCCCCCCATCCCAGGGAACGCTATGCAGCTGATGGTGCACTGCAGGGCCTGCCCCTGGGACAGTGAGCCATGGCTGCCCTACCGACCCTGCCTGCCATGGGGAAGTGCAGCCCACAGGGTCACACATCCACAGCGGGTTGACATGCCCACAGCAGGGCCATGGCACGACGCCTGCAAGACAGCACTGCCAGTAGAGATGCCAGCACTGATGTCAGCACAGTGACGTGGCTTAGCACTGGTGCAAGTCTGGAAGCCACGTCTGGCTGCAGTGACAAGAGGAAGCCAGGCTGCCTAGGGTGACATCAAGCATGTGGGCTGCTCTGCACCCCACAGCTGTGGCCACAGCTTCTTTCTTGCCTACTTGACACAGCACCTCAGTAGGGCACAGGAAGACTCACCCTCTGCCAGTGTCAGGCCAAGCGCTTGGTCAAGGGCTACTCATTTTCAGAGACCTTGCAAGCTCCAATGACTTTGAGAGCCACCCACTGAACTGAGGTCTAGTGTCTGGGCTGGTCTCCATCTGTTCTGGAACACGTGGGTAAAGAGGAGAATACAAGACACGAGAAATTTGTCCAGAAGCTGAGGCTTGGAGAAGAGCAGCAGGATTCTCTGCCTGCTGCTTCCTGAAATGGGAGGTCTCCCAAATGAGGCAGAGGCAGGTACGGTCCTCCTTGCAGAGAACTGGACACCCCGAGGCTTCCACAAACAGGACAACACCACTTTAACCCTTTCAAGTCCCATGTTGCCATTAAAGATGAACAAAACATCAAAGGTCTCTCAAGCAGACCTGTGAGCCTACAAATGCAAACAGAGTCCACAGCTGCTTTAACTCAACAACACAGGTCACAAGACCTGAACTTTGTATACAGGTCTCGGACAACAAGCTCTGTCCCCTGCAAGAACCCAACGCATAGAAAGGATGGTCAAGCTTTACCCATTCAATTTGAGGGAGAAAGAGGGTAAGAGGACAGCAGGGAGGACATGCTTCTGGCTTGTGCAGCAGACTCTGGAAGTACAAACTCTTTTGGCCTTCAGTCATCATCTCAAGCTGCACAGTAATCAGAGAATACACTTCACTCTAAGAAAGTCATATTTGTACATGTCCAGCTGGGCCCACAATCCAACAGAGGCAGGATGTGCCTGCCTTAAATTCCAAGTGCCAAGTAGATGCACATGCACAGACTTGCATGTCTTTACCACACAAACACATGCGAACACACATGTGGCACGGAGAACTTCAGCAAATGATTTATGAGCCTGTCCCTGCCTCACTAGCTGAGCTTTATTTTTCTCATTACATTATTCAGCTGAGCATTACAATTCCTCTTCTCTGAAGAATACCATGTTAACATTAGTGCATGCTGTCAGGCCACCACAGGCCAAATGTCCCCCACTCCATGTCCCTCACACCTGCACTTCATGGTCCTTCCTACTGTCTGCTAATGACAGGCTAAGAGCTATCAGCTCCACGACCCACTGGACTCAAGAAACCTTCTGGAGCTATATGCATCAATGGACACCAGATGGGCAGCACACGG